AAAAATAAAAAGCTGACAAAATGGATATAAAAGGGAAATGTAGTATTCCTAAAAACAAGCTTCTTTATTTAAAAGAAAAGTATCTAGGAAAGTAATCTAAACAGAAGAGTCAAAATCTCTAGAGCAGAACAAACAGGGAAAGTAAGATTGCCTGTTCAGAGAGGACAAGCTGGAGCTGTAGGAAAAGCTTGAAATAACAGAATGGAAACTCTGAGTTTCAGAAAATGAGAATCATTGCCTGACAACGTAACATATAAAGATGCTCATTTCCTGAGAAAGTGAGAAATGGGGTACACATGGAGACTTGTACACCAATGCTCATAGCAACATTATTCACTATCGCAAGAACATAGAAACGGCACAAATGTCCAAACACAATCTAATAGATTGAGAAATTATGGTACATTCACACAATGGAATACCATGCAGCATTCAGGAGCAATGATTTTATAAATCACTACTTAAATTTGGAGGCTCTGGAGAGCTTTATGCTAAGTGAATTAACTCAATCCCATAAAGACAAATACTGTATAAGACTATTATTGTAGAAAGTGTATGAGCATCCAAGGGGGAGGGGGAGAACAAAGGGGTGAGGATGTGCAGGGAAGGGGGGGCTTAAACATTGGTTTTCACAATTTGGTGGGTGGAGAGAGTAGTGGGTAAAGGAAGTGGGAGAGATTCGGTGTGAAAAACAATGCATAAGAACTTTGTAAATAAACCAGTATGAAATATTTTTTTTAAAAAAGACAAGAAACAAAAAAAGAAAGATACTTAAGTGATACGGAAACATAATAGGATAGTGTAACAAGCCAAAGTAATGCCTTACGAGAGTTTTCTTTCTAGCCTCATGTATTTACTCCAGTTAAGTTGATGAGTCTAATGTGAACTGCTGTTTCCACTAAAAGATACACTCTACATGCTCAAGAGAGATTTTTCTTTTTGTGGTAAAATATATTTTGCTTATTTGTTTCTTCAAAGTATGTAATTATTTGCTTTACAGAAGAGGGAAAAGAGAAGAAAGATATTTAAAAAAATCTAACTACTTCTTTCATACATCCATCACATAGCAGAAAACTAATTAAGAAGTCAGGGAGTTTGTTGTAGAGAATTAAGTATCTGAACAATATTTCAGTATTATTGATGGGAGGAAGCACCAGATAATTCTTACTATTTAAGTTCTAGATGACTATTAGGAGTTATAACACCACAACTGAAAATTAAAAATTGATGTGTTAATGATGATGTATTTTTGTCATTTTAGATATCCTCTTCTATTACCTCTATTGGAACCAGAGTTTGCAACTCAAACCATTGTAAATGCTATTTTACGGAACCAATTATATGTATTAATGCCCAAGATTCTTTGGTTTGCAATGATCATTAAACAGTAAGTTAACTTCTCTCTCTCTCTCTCTCTCATTTTTAAACATAGTGATTTTAATCATTGCAACCTCATTCGCTGAGAAAAAAAGCTTTGTCTTAAATGATAAAAGAAAAGCATTTAATAGTGCAAGGACTTTTTTGGACCACTGCAAGTTGTACCTTAATTGCTTCAGAGATTAAGAAACTGTGGTCCCTATTTAGTCCAAGTATTTATGCTCAACACTGACTCAAATAATACCTAAATGTTGTGTGGTGGCTTTCATGAACTCCTATTTTGACTAATGTAGACTTCTTAGAGCTTTGTTGACCTAGTGGTAACAAGTTGTGCACAAGGCATGAAGTTCAAAACCACCAGCTGCTCTTTGGAAGAAGGCTGGGCAATCCCCTCCCTTGCAATTAATTGTCTCTGAAAAGCCACTGGAGGGTCAGTTATGAGTCCTTTCCAACTCAACAGCACACAGCAATAATGGACTTCTAAGGACCTTGAATGATACTAACATTTTGCACTTGACTACTGAGCTAAAGGTTGAAGGTTCAAACTCCTCCAGCAGTGCCAAGGAAGTAGGAATTTCTGGCATACTCCCAAAAAGACTACAGGCAAAAAAGCAGCTCTGTGTAACACATGGAGTGGCCACAAATCACAATAAACATCTGAAAATGGGCCTATTTTCCTATGTAGACTTCTATTTTAAAAACAAAAGTCAAAATCCTTGAGTATATTGCCAAGTAAATATTGTTGTTATGATTGTGGTTGTGATCATGTGTGCCGTTAAGTAAAAAACTGATCCATAGCTCACTTTCCAGAGGGCTTGTAGGCACAGCAAATCATGAGAAACGATTGTCCATCTTTCCCATGGAGGAGGTGATGGATTTGAACCATGTACCTTTGTGTTGGCAGTGCAATTCTCCTTACCACTAAGCTGCTAGAGCTAAATATTAAGGGTGGGGTTTGGACAAGTTCCTATTTCAGCTTAAAGAGAGAGCATCTATAACTCCATGCAAAGCTTGTACTATCTGCTTCAGCATATTCTTGGATCTTTCATCTGCTCTTCAGATAAGGAACAAAAACATTTCTCTTTCAAAGAGGAACTACTATGTGGCAGGCACGATGTGACCAGGCATTACAGAATGGCATACATTGGCAAGACTCTTTAGGCCTATATTGCTATTATCCTCTTTATGGTGGAGAATCTGGGATGTAGATATCCTAAGTACTTTTTACAGGATTAAACAATAAGTGTTAGTCCATAAGATGTTGAGCAGCTAACACTCTTGACAGTGTGAATACACCAGTGGATCCGTGGGACAAAGATATGCCATCTCCTCCCATGTGATTTGCAGCCTCCTGAGAACCCTCTGGAGGGTCAGCTATGGGTAGATTCTGACTCAAGAGCAATGAATCTTAATGTAAGAAGTGTTGGAGCAGAGTTTCAAGTATTATTCCTGAGCTTCAGCTCTCTTTACCTTTTCT